CCTGCCAGTCCATACACACACACATACACATATATTTTTTAAGAATTATTTTATTTAACTTTATTTATTTACCTCAGTTTTACCAGAGAAGGACAGAGTGAGCAAGTAAGAGAGAGAGAGAGGAAGAGAGAAAGAGAGAAAGCAAGCTGTAAGGTCTGGGACTCAAACCATGGTCTGCCATGTGGAAGTCCAGCATCTCCAACCAACCACCGCACCATCTGCTGGCCCCTACATATATATATTTTTTGTTTTAAGTTATCTGACTTTAGCACAAATGCTCTACCAAACATAACATACAACATATATAAATATGTGTACAACAGAAAAGCACATATAAGAGTATCCCTGTGTCAAAATAAACTTACCCTTCCCACCTGGCTCTTGGCACCAGGAAGGTTGTTATTTTCCTTCTGATATCCCAGATACACAAATTTACCACTGAGGGGGGAAAAATTTACCACTGGGATGGGACATGAAGTCAACATCCTGGCAGCTCATCCAGATAGGGATGCTCATTTCTTCACAGACCACCATGGGCGAGTGTGCTGAGATAATTAAATTCCTCACCAAGAGATGTTCAAATGAAGGAACAAAAGAAAAGTGTAAGAAACCAAAACAAAGAAGCCAGATATTATGACAGGCCTTCCCCTGCTCAGTCATTCTCTTTTTTTAAAATTTTTTTAAAATTATATTTTTCTAAAATATTCTTTACTAACCTCCAGGATATAAATGTCAATACTTAACCTCATGCCTCAGGCAGCTGGCCTTCTCTGGCAGCTGCCCACTCAAGTGCCTTTCAGGTTTGGGGGTGAATTTTCTCCCTATTAGAAATCTTTACTTTTCTATTTAAAACCAGTCATTCTCTTTTTTTAAAATTTTTTTAAAATTATATTTTTCTAAAATATTCTTTACTAACCTCCAGGATATAAATGTCAATACTTAACCTCATGCCTCAGGCAGCTGGCCTTCTCTGGCAGCTGCCCACTCAAGTGCCTTTCAGGTTTGGGGGTGAATTTTCTCCCTATTAGAAATCTTTACTTTTCTATTTAAAACTTCTCTTTTCCCAAGTTACAGGATTATGGTTTTTCTTTCTGCATCTCAGGACAGGTCTCAGAGATTTGAACCTAAAGAATCTTGGATTTTTATACCCTGTAGCTCAGCTTCTCCTACCTGTAGCAGCATGCCTTACAGACAACTCACTCCCTGCAAGCTTCTTTGAACAGCATCAACTTTGCCAAATGAGCTGGCATTTCTCCTCAATATGTTAGCCAGTTCTTCTGCAAGTCACTCCTCTTCTCACATAGTCAGCTTCTCAGAGATTGAACAAACCTAAATAAAAAGAAGCCCAGGGACCAGCAGTTAGCATAATGGCTATGTTGCTGGACTCCCATGTAGTCGACCATGGTTCGAGTCCCAGACCCAGTGGCTTAAACTCATGCCCGGAGTGTGTGTGTGCGTGCCCAAGATCCCGAGAGGAGAAGGGATTGTGGTGTGGCCATCCCCCCTGGGGGGTGATTTCTCGCTTTCTATCTCTTTGTCTCTCTCTGTCTTTCTGGCTAGCGCACGCACTGCGCCCTATAGCAAAAACTCTCTTTTAAAAAAAAAAAAAAAAAAAGACCAACACAAAAGCC